CATTTTCCCCCTTTTAATCAGGATTCTTCTAAGGAATCTTTGCTCAAAATGTTCAGTAATGGTAGCTGGGCGCCATCCAGTTCTTCTGGTCTCATGGCAAAGGACGCAGTTGTTCATGGAGGCAATTAGTCACACATTCCACATCCTCCTCCTATTCCTGACTCTCCTTTTACCTCTGTTGTTCCAGGCAAACAGAGACCAATTGTTGTGCCTTGGATGGCTGCTTGCAAGCTTTTAAGACCCTAAGCACTATGCATCGAACTAGGATGTAGAATACAAGCACTGTCTTAGCTATCTAGTGCTGCTATAAAGAAATACCATAAGTGGATGGCTTTAGCAAACAGAAATTTATTCTCTCACAGTTTAGGAGGCTAAAAGTCCAAATTCAGGGTGTCAGCTCCAGCGGAAGGCTTTCTCTCTCTGTGGGCTCTGGGGGAAGGCCCTTCTCATCAATCTTCCATTGCTCTAGGAGCCTCTCAGTGCAGGGACCCTGGGTCCAAAGGATGCATGCTCCTGGCTCTACTTTCTGGGTGGTATGAGGCCCCCTGTCCCTCTGCTGGCTTCTTTCTTTTACATCTCAAAGAGACTGACTTAAACACAACCTTATCTTGTAGACTGAGTCCTGTAATTAACATAACTGCCCTAATCCTGCCTCATTAACATCATACAGGCAGGATTTACAACACATAGGAAAATCACATCAGATGACAAAATGGTAGACAATCACACAACACTGGGAATCATGGCCTAGCCAAGTTGACACATATTTTTGGGGGACACAATTCAATCCATGACAAGCACTAAACACGTTATTAATCCAATTAACTATGATGTCCTATGAAACCATGACCCTAAACCTCCAAATCAAAAAACCAAATCCCATCAGGTTTTTGGCTATACTTATCAGTCTCAGCAGCTACTCTTTTTTTTTTAATCATTGTTGTAAATGTATCTTTAATAGTAAAAAAAAACTACCAGATATGTGGCAAAAGTTATCACACAACTTTTGTCACATATCTGGTAGTTTTTTATTTAATCCTGAACACAGTGTGTTAAGAATTATAGAGACTCTGGATGATATTATTTTCCTCCAGAAAGGATACAGCTTATTTTGGCAGGCAGATACTCTATATCAGATCACCTTGGTTCAACTAGGGATTCAGAAGATTGCGTTCAAGCTTTGTTTTTGAGGCTTTCTGAGGGCTAATTTATTTCTGGTTTGCCCTTACTCCTAGGGTGTAGCCCTCTAAGGGTTTCAATAGAAAGCCAGAGTTTTTTTTTTTTTCTTTTTTTACCACAGCCCCTTCTACACTGAAAGGTCCTGAAATGCAATTTTTGTGCCCCTACCGCAGTGAGGCTTTCTCCTTGGTTTCTTGGCCCCTCACCCCATGCAGGCACAGCTTAAGAATCAGCAAATGCCTTAAAGGGAAACTGAACATAGAATGATAAGCTTACTTCTCTGTGGTCCCCTTCTCTCCAGGTATTTGGCTTCTGAAGTCCTGGCTGTCTTAATTCTCTCTGATGCCTTCATATACCTTTATCTTCAATATCCAGCCTTTGTAGTTGTTCTCCGTATGAGGGTTAGTCTGATAAAAGCTATTCTATCATAGCTGGAAACAGAAGTCTACTCTATTCTTTTCAATTGCTGCATAATATTTTATTGTATGGACGTACCATAATTCAACCATTCTTACTTACAGGCATTCACTTGTTTTTATTTTTAGCCATTAGAAAATAGATTGTAACAAACATTCTTGTACATATTCCTTGTACATTTGTATGAGTGTTACATAGGACAGATTCCTAGAAGATTGTTGATCAAAAGTATGTGCATTAAAAATGTTTCTAGGCAATGCCAAAATGCTTCTGATTTACAATGTTGAGAGTGTCTATTTATTCACATATTCACCAGCACTGGATATTATCCATCTTAACTTTTGCAAAACTCATGGGTAAAAAAATTGCAATTCATTGTTGTTTTATCTTACATTTCCCCAATCACTAGTGAGGTTGAAGCTATGATAATTTAAAAGATATAGTACTAGAAAAATAAAAATAGCCATCTACAGACCCCCAAAGAAAGTCAGAAACATACATATATACACACATGTAAGTTTATATATATATATCCTAAATGATCAAAGTGGTATTTCAAAATAGTGGATATGGGAAAAATTATTCAATCAGTAGTGCTAGAATAACTGAGTAATTATTTGTCAAAGACTTAGATTCCTACCTCATAGGATAAACTAAAATTAAAATTTTAGACTAAGTGAAGAGCTAACTGTAAAACTGCAGTTATAAAGAACTAAGAGAAAACATAACGAAAATATATTTGACCTAGGGAAGGGTCTATTTTTTTAAGCATAACAGTGAAGGAAGAAACCAAAAATGGAGAAAATTTTACCACATTAAAATGTAAACTTCTACAAGTCAAAAGCAAAGACAAACAATAAAATAGAAAAATGTTATGAAAACAAGTGGAAGACAATGTGTAACATCTTAAAAAACCTCTTAGAAATCAATAAGAAAAAGACGATTGCCTAGTAGAAATATGGCAAAAGAATATAAGTAGACAATCTTAAAAATAGAAAAAAAAAAGGCTACTTAATTTATGAAAACAAGTTTATCCTCCATATGGCCAAAAAGATGAAGATGTTATGCTAACACAGCCATTAAAGTAGTGTAGTACGAGGCTATTTAACAAAATGGAACATGGCTCATCGTGTTATTGTTACGTGACAAAAAATAGTTTGCAAAGTGTGCTTTTTGACACTGCTTTTTTAAAAAACAGGTATGTTTTTATTGTTTAAAAAAAAGTTTAGAAACAAATACATCAAAATAAAAACAGTGGTTTTCTTTGAGCAGAATTATAGGTGATTTTATCTTTTTCTTTTGGGCTTTTCTCTATATTCCTGTTCCCTGCAGTCAGCACATACATATCAATTTCGTATTCAGGTAAGTTAAAAATTATTAAAATGGGAGAGAACAAGAATAGCATGATGAAGCAAGATGAAGCAAGGAGATAAAATTTACAATTCCTGAAGAAATGAAAGATATATCTGATCAAATGAATGTATTTGATTTTTAAAAACTTGCACAAAGGCAAATGAAATTAATTATCTAAAAGAAAGTAACAGAATAGGAAATATATACATTATAAACCTCATTGACTAAAGCTTGCTATAAAATGTACTTAAATAATTGATAAATGTATGTGAAAATGCACAGCGCCAACTAGATAAGCAGGCAAAAAGAGTCAGAGTTTCAAAAGAAACAAGAAGTGAAACAAAATGGAAAATGTATAGCCTAACTGGAAATTTAAGAAAGGAAATTAAAATAATTTATACATATTAAAACCATTAATCTAATGAAAATAAATGATAAAAACTCAATGTTGGTTGGGCAGTAAAAATAAAAATATAGTGACACTATAGCATTTAGTTGGATCACTATAAACTGGTAGCTGTTTCTAAAGAATAATTTAGTAATATACAATAAGATCTACAAAGCCGTTCATACACTTTTATCCAGAATTCCATTTCTGGGAATATACTCCAAACAAATTACAAAAAGGAAAAAGTGATCTATATAAAGGTGCTTGTAGAAACATAAAAATTTTGGAAACAATTCAACTACACAATAAGGGAACAATTATTATAATGCAATGGAATAACACAAAGCTATTTCAATATATGAAAATATTTATATGAAATAAAAAGTAAAAAACAGAACACAAGGTAACATGTATAGACTGAATATAACTATGAAAATGTATTTACGCACGCTAACAGCTTAAAAAAGAACCAGCATTATATAATGTTGAGCTTAATATTTATTGAGTTCTTACATTCATAAAGTTGATTAATCTCATAATTTAAAAAAAAGTTTTAAAAACATTATGGAACTGAAAGACATAGAATACTCAGTGTTTGAGGGGAGCCAGAGAATTCTGTTTAATTAGCACATGTAAATGAATACACTTGGTGAGGAAATCTTTTTCCTTAGTGGAATTATGGCTATGATTAAATGTATGCTTAAAGCAATTTTGGTATTGTGAAACTGATGCAATAATAGAATTCACTCATTTGAGTGATAAGTCATCAAGTTTGCCTCATCTATCATGCCTTCCTTGACTTCCCCAGGTAAGCTATCCTCTCTCTCCTCTGTGTTTCAATTGTACTTTGCAAATAACACCATTGTTACAGCATTTATCAGGGTGTACTATAATTATTTGGTTACATGTCTATTCATCCTGCAAAGTCTAGCCTAGTACCTAGAACGTAATAAGTGAGCAACAAATGCTTATGAATGAATGAATAAAGCAAGTGAAAGATCATATCAGGAAAATAAATGTAGCTTGTTACTTGAGTTCCCAAAACGTTAGATCATTCATTAAACTCAGCAGGACCCATCAGTCCTTATTTCCTTTGGCTAGGAAATAAGAACTTAATAAGCAGCCCAAAAAGGAGTCTAGGCTTTGAAACAGTAAGAAGTAAAGAGTTTGTTTCTGTTTGTTGGAGAGAACTGATATGATGCAGGTAGATTCTCCCAAGAAAGGGGAGAATATGTTAGTTAAGCACACACCTGGAATTAAAATGCAATATAGCATGATAACAGTCATGCCCTATGTACCAAAGGATACATAAGAAAAACCAAACCCGCTGCCATCGAGTCGATTCTGAGTCATTGCAACCCTATAGGACAAAAGAGAATTGCCCCATAGGGTGTCCAAGGAGCGGCTGCTGAATTCAAATTGTCGACCTTTTGGTTAGCAGCTGAGCTCTTAACCACTGCGCCACCAGGGCTCAAAAGGGTACACAGCACACCTAAAATTAACAAGCCTGCCCAGGATACACAGGCTTGGAAACTTGGATTCCAGAAACATTAAATTCCTTGTGAGATACAGGTTAATAAAACAATGTAAGATCAAGGGGGAAAAAAAGGAAAGAAAGCAGCCTGTCTTAAATAATGTTTTGATTCTAGCAGGCTTGCCTTACCTAAGCTGGAATAAATGTGGCTGAGAATCCGAGCTGGTTGGACTCTGATGGGGTATACCTCAGCAATGGTCTCCACATCAACTCCTTTGTCCTTCAAAATGGCCTTGATCTCTTCTGTCTCAGCTAGAATTGACACTACAGGAAAGAAAGAACACTATGTCAACAGATTTTTTTTTTCCCAACTGGAACCTAAAAGCTCTAAAGCCACATGATTTCCTTTGAAGGGAAGAAAAAAAAAAGTGGAAGAAATTAACAATAATTGAGGAATCTTGATGAAACAGGTATTGTGCCAGGTACTAAGCAATATTAATCCAAACGAAAAGGGAAAACGATCTCAAGTAGGGTACTAGATTCGTTTTTTTGAGTAGGGACCTATGTGCTCCTTTATATCAGGGATTCCATTTTTAAACAGGTAAAATCCATCATGAGGTTTGTTATAGCATTGGCAGAAGTTGATTCCCCAGGCTCTTTCATATCAGTACACTTAAGATTAGGGTCAGGAATGTGAGAGCAATAAAAAAGACCTTAATGATAGAATTGCCCTATAGCCAGAGAATGGCAGAAGGCAAGATGAGTTGGGGATAAAGGTTTACGTCATCAATACAGAGGAGGTACAATAGTTGAAATTGCGTGTGAGATTTTGGGGGGTAGGGGATGGAAGTAAGACTCCTCTAGACCCTGGACAGCTCCCTTTTTTTCCTCTTGTACTCATATCACAGAAGTGGTAAGCCTACTCACAAGGGAGGAGGCCAGGCCAGCTCCCTGACTCTTCTCTTCACTTTCCCTCTAAGTGACAGATACCTGGCTGGGGCCAATGATCCAAGTGAGGCCTCAGTTGGCTTGACACTAAACACCAGGGGCAAACATGCTCTCTAAATATGCTCTCTACTCCTGCTCCTCTAGAACTGGTAGATGTGTTGGACTGGGTTTATGAAAAAGAGAATGCAGCACTTGGCTCATTCCAGCTTACCAGAATTCTCTATGTTGGGTTTTCGGGACAAAAGTCTAGTTAACACTCCAAGAGTATGGCCCGGGACACACTTTTAGCTCAGAAATGAAGTCACTCCCGAGGTTCACCCTTCAGCCAAAGATTAGACAGCCCCATAAAACAAAACAAGACTAAAGGGGCACAACAGCCCAGGGACAAGGACTAGAAGGCAGGAGGGGACAGGAAAGCTGGTAATAGGGAACTCAAGGTCGAGAAGGGAGAGTGTTGACATGTCATGGGGTTGTTAACCAATGTCATAAAACAATATGTGTACTAACTGTTTAATGAGAAACTATTTGTTCTGTAAACCTTCATCTAAAGTACAATAAAAAAAATATACCAACTTGCTAGCTGTTTTCTATTTGTTCACTTCTCTTAAAAAAAAAACAAAAGTCTAGTTAACAAAGTTCTAATTTGCTTTCCTATTCCATTATCTTTTGTGTATTTTTCTATGTTGGGAACCTCATGGTGATGGGTTGCTGTGGTCTGGGGCAGGATATGGGGATTATAGAGACCCCTGGACGTAACACCATCTTGATTACTTCTAACTGGAAACATGAAAATGAAGGAGATTCTCCAGGGAAAAATGTTCAGAGAATGATAATGGGCTGAGAAGAATCCAGAAAACTACATGTGGTCACCCATCCAATCAATAAACATTTACTGAGCACCTTAATGGGTGAGGTACTATGTTAGGCACTAGAGATACAGAGATGAATAAGTTAGTCTCTCCCTTAAAGAGCTCACACTGTAATATAAGTGGCTAACACAAATTGATTATAAAATAACTTGCAAGATAAAGATATGCACAAATTATGAGACCAGCCAGGAGTGACACCTATCCAGTATGGGGCTGGGTAGAGAGGTGGTTTCAGAAAAGGCTTCCTAAAAGAGGTGATGCCTAAGCTGAGTCTGAAAAGATGAGTAACAGTTAACCAGGAGAAATAAGGGGACAGGAATAGGGAAGGTCATTCTAGGAAGAGGGTCTGGCATAAACATAAAGCATAGAGATGAGAAAGAATACGATTTGGGGGAGGGGAAACTCCATACACCGCAATATATGCTATAGCATGACATACCTTGCATAGTGGCAAAAAATGAATCTAGAAAGGTAGACAGGAGCTAGATCATCATGGAGGGCATTATGTGTCACTTTAAGGATCATGTATTTTATCCTTGGGCAGTGATTTTCAAACTGTTCTACTGAGCTTAGAGGTTCTGCAGGGGCCACTGTGGTTGGTAGTGGGAGTAGATAGGACTGAAGGAGAGGCAAGTGAAAAATACTCTGAGGCTCCAGGAGCATTTCAACCCCAGCATCTCTGCTTTTTGTTTATGTTTTATAAAATACTTAGAAAATACTAATTTACTGCATCCTATGTCCTTGTTAGGAGTCCCTGGGTGATGCAAACGGTTAAGTGCTTGACTACCAACTGAAAGGTTGGTGGTTCAAATCCACCCAGAGGCACGTCGGAAGAAAGGCTTGGCAATTTACTTCCAAAAATGAGCCATTGAAAACCCTGTGGAGCACAGTTCTACTCTGACACACATAGGGTCACTATGAGTTGGCGTCAACTTGATGGCAACTGGTTTGGTTGGTTTTTATGTGTTCGTTGTTGTTGTTAGTTGCTATTGAGTCAGCTCTGACTCATGGTGACTATGTGTTAAAACCAAAAAAGCCAAACTCACTGCCGTTGAGATGATTCTGACTCATAGCAACCCTATAGGACAGAGCTGAACTGCTCCAAAGGGTTTCTAAGGCTCTAATCTCTATGGAAGCAGATTACCACATCTTTCTCCTATGGAGCAGCTGGTGGGTTCAAACTATCGACCTTCGGTTAGCAGCCAAGTGCTTAAATACTGCACCACCAGGGCTCCTTGACTATGTGGTAGGTACTGCCAATGCAGGGGATACAAAGACAGACATCATCCCTTCCTGGAGAAAATGACACTGATATTGAGTCCTGCACAGGGCTGAATAGTATAGTCAACCTGGTAAAGATGATGATAAAAGTGAAGGAGAAACTATTCCAGACAGAAGGAATGGCATGTGCAGAAGTCCAAGGGATAAAGCCAGCATAAAACAAGGAAGATCTAGGAATTATAAAAAGTTCTTTATAGCAGGAGCATGGAGTGTGAAAGGACAGTGATAAGAAATAAAACTGGAGAGGGGTTAGGGGCCAGATCATAAAGACCCTTGTAAACCATGTTAAGAAGACTGGCAATAAAAAGTCCCTGCAGATTTTTAATCAGGGAAGTAGTATGCCCATATCTACCTCTTAAAAAGAACATACTCAAGCTGCTGTTTAAAGACTAGATGGAAAGACTATAGTGGACCTAGGCTGAAGACAGGGAGAACAGTTAAAAAGTGACTGCAGTAATGCAAGGGAGAGATGTTGATTACTTAGATTAGGATCACTAGGCTTAAAAGAGAGTCAAACCCAGAGGCTGGAAAGGGGACCTCACTACCACCAAGAAAGAAGAGCCAAGAATGGAGTGTGTCCTTTAGACCCGGGGTTCCTGAGCTGAGAACCCCTTAGACCCATGGAAAGAGAGACAGAGCTGTAACACTAGAGATGGAGAGAAATCGCTGCAAACATGGCAGAGAAGCAGCAGCAAGAGTGGCAGAGAAACAGCAGCAGAACCAGGAGACTGGCACGAGACAGTGCAGTTGGCTTCCCAGCACATGGAACAAGGAAGCTACAGTGGGCGCGCCAACCCATGGAGCAACAGAACTGAGTATCTTTGGACAGGAGGCTTCCTGGCGGAGTGGGGTGCTTCTGGGCACTTATTGGTGGAGCTAAAGAGCTTCCTAACACTTGCCCTAGCAAGGCAAAGGCCAGGCCCGAGCAGGACCCAGGGCCAAGGGCTGAGAGGAGGCCTATCCTAAGGGGACTGAGAGGAGCCTATCATTAGGGGGCCAAGAAGAACCTGCCCTGAGGGGGCCGAGTACAGCCTGTCCTCAGGGGCCAAGAGGAACCCTGCATGGCTGAGAGGAGCTGAGAGCGCTGTCTTGCACTGAAGAAGCGAGACTTTGCCTACATGCTTCCTGATCCTGATCCTGAGTTGTAGCCTGTTGATTCTGATCCTGAATTGTAACCTGTTACTGCCCTAATAAACCCCATAATCGTGAGTATTGTCTGTGAGTTCTGTGTGGCCAGTGCAATGAATTATTAAATCCAGCAGAGAAGTAGAGAGTGCCGTGGGAAAGACGGCTGGTGTCAGAATTGGTGAAAAGGGAGGAGAGAGGAGGTATGTCTGACCTACATCTCATAGGAATCAGCCTTGGGATGATAATACTGATCTTGATTGTCTCTCCTCCCCACTGAAGTTAGAGGAGGACCGATGCCACGACACCGGCCTTTTCACACACTGGTACTGCAGAGAACTAGACAGATTTCAGAAATATTTATGAGGTAAAGAACCCAGGACTTGTTAACTGATTACAGGGGGAAGAGAGAGGGAGATATTGATAATGACTCCTAGGGTGTTTATTTGTGTAACTGGGAGGACGGTGGTACACATAGGAGGAAAAGCAGGTATGGATGGTGTAGTGCTAGGAGGGTGCAGCTGATGAATTTTAGACACGTTGAGTTTAAAAGTGCAGGCAAGACACCCAAACGGGGCTATCTAAAAGGGAGCTGACATAGATTCAGGAGTCATCAGTATAGGAAGAGACAAGATGGGTCAAGGAGATCTATAGAGAAGAGAAGAGGATCTAAAACATAATCTTGAGAAATTCCAACGTACAGGGAATGGGCAGATGAAGAAACACCTGGGGGTAGGGGTGGGGTTCTTCTCTCATGGCTTATATTTTCTTTGTGGTATAGGAGATGCAAACATTTTCTAAGAATGAGGGAAGAAGTGAGGAGGTAGGAAAAAGGAAAAGGTTTAGAATAGGAGGAGCCGAGAGACAGGAAAAAATATACAGAGTAAGAACAGCAGTGGATTAAGGACAGAACTCTCAGGAACACCAACTGCTAATGAATAAAGAAAAGAGGAAGCCCTGAATGAGATAGAAAAGTACTTACTTAATACAGGTTCAAGAAGATTCAGGAGTATGGTATCACAGAAGACATGGGACTTAAGATTTTGCAGGAGGATAAATGACCAATAATGTCAAAGGGAATAGAAAGATCCACTAAGATAC